TCTTGAAGAGAGATGATTACTGATCGCGTCCATTGCTGTGCAAAATGGACAGGCTGCTCTAATATCCACAATAACATCTTCTGGAGATGCTGCTACAGGAGAGTGTTTGCATCTTTTTGGAGTGGGCTCACTCAGCTTCCATTCAGCCCTGGCTGCTGGCCTTTGTGCTCAGTGAGGAGAAGGGACGTCTGGTAGTGATTGCAGTGAAGTGGCATTCAGATGAGTATTTTATAATTTCAGCCAGTTAGCAGGTTTATTTAACCAGACTCAACTTTTGGACATTATAAGCAATTTTCTTTCTCATCCAGGTAGAAAAGGAGACAAAGCAGACCTGATTGCAAGACACTTAGCAGCACCTGCAGGTGCTTTGTCATGTTCAATGGACTTTAAGTGCTTCAGACTGATAACACTGAGCGTCGGTTTTGTCCTCTCATGCACAGGTTGAAAGACAAGCAGACCTGATTGAGCCAGCTGCATTCAGCTTCACTGGTGCCAAGAATCCCCGGAGTATTTCCGTTGTCTCTGCAAAACACTGCAGCCTTTGTGTTCATAAACCTGTCCTGCTGTGCTGGGGCTGAGCACTGTGTACGTTTGTTTGTCTGTCCAGCTAACGCGGCTGGCTGCTCTCCTTCCAGACCCTGCAGGTGACCAGAAGACTTTGGATACAGTCACAGCTCGATGAGGATTTTACTGAGATGTCAGGTGCTGTGGGTAGATGAAGCAGCAGAGCCTCCATTTGTGGCTGTGCTTGGAGTCCTGCATTGCTTCCATCCAGATTAAATGCACATATAAGGACAGGAGGAAAAAAAAAAATCAGGAAATCATATATATTTTTTTCTGCTACTACTACTCATTATGCCCCAGGAATGCACTGCATGCTGGACCTGTTCTCAGCTGCTCCCAGGCTTGCTGAAGTATCAGCTGTGGGCTGCTTAAAATCATGTCTACATGTGTGGCTGCCTATCTACAAGACTACAAAAGAAACATCCCTGAGGGACTGAAAAGAAAAAAAAAAAAAAAAAAAGGAAAAAGAAAACGTGGGGGAAAACAGTCGCAATAAAAAATTGTGTATGTGGTTTTTCAATAAATTCTCATTTCAGAGTATGGGACTTTCCTGAAATCAGTGGGAAACTACCATAGGTAGTTTCCTCTTTCTGGCTCTGGATGGGAGCTCCCAGACTGTGTGTCTCACCAAGAACATATCCCCTAATTTGAACTACCAATTAAACCTAACTTTTGCCTTGTTAATTTGGTGCAGTCTTTCCTATTATGTTCTTTTGGTGTTCAGCAGATGTGACCTCAATACCATCGTATGGCTGTAAGTAGAAACCCATCTTCAGCGTTTTTATCTGCTTTGCTCTTTGTAAATAATTTCTAGAACAGAGTGGCACAGCCTTTACTTAGTACTTATGATTTAGCTGTAAGTTGGACTAGTAAAAGCTTATGTGCCCGTTTATTTAACCAACGCCACAGGCACAACCATGCTGGTGCCCTTCAAAAACAAGATGAGATTTAGAAGAGAGGATTAGAACATTTCCCTTCTCTGGGATTCGCAGTATAAGCTGTATATCACTATGTGTGAACAGGGTCCATGCATATGGAATGTACTTGCACGCATAGAGAGAGCTGTAGTCTCCAATAAATGTTTGGTTTTTGTGACCTTCCTGTCTAAAGCCTGCACCAGGTTTGTGTGCACAGCCGTGGTCAGCTGCATGTGCAGCTTCAGCCCTTGTCCCTCCTGTGCTGCAGCCGTTCTGCACACAGACTATAATGCCTTACATCTTGGGTCAGTTAAACCCATCTTTAGGGCTTTTTGTTTTAAACTTCGTTGCTGCTCCGCTTTTCTTACCAGCCTGAGATTAGGGAAGTGTCTGGTGCCATCTTGTGTCGCAGAGGAGTAACAGAGCTGTCGACTAAAAGCTTCTTAATTTGGAATCCGAAGTGTTTTTAACTCGCTTAGCTTTAGGGTTTGTCACTGGCAGCTGCCCCAGCATCGACGAGGCAAGGCACAAGGTGACCCTGGGGATGCAATGCAAAGTACATTGAGGGCAGTCGAAAAATGCATTACAGTGGGGATGTGTGTAGTGTCACCAAGGTCAGATAAGCAAGGAGGTGTGGGCAGCCCTTGTTACTGTGACCTCAGGTGAAGATCTGTTGTTTTCAGAAATATGCAGATTCTTTTTTTCCCTTTTCCTCCTTCCTTCTTTTCTTGATGATGACAGTGGTCTGCTATCAGAGGCAAAATTGTGACGAATGTGAAGAGAATATTTGCCTTTACAAAATATGACAGAAAATCCCCTAGAAAGCCAGGAAGGCTCCAGTCAGGCATCAGGTGTCACCTGTTCAGTTTAATGGTGAGCACATCACCTGTCTCCCAGTTCCTAGGTTGCTGCCACAGAAGAGTACAGGAAAGTTGTGGAGCTTGTTGTGCTCATAATCCAATTAACTTCTCCAAAAAGCACCTGTTTCTTGGGCTTGGTTTCCAAGTCACGGCTGTGAAGTGAACAGTACAAGGCTCTTTTTTCTTTTTCTTCTCTTCTCTTCTCTTCTCTTCTCTTCTCTTCTCTTCTCTTCTC